TTAAATAAAAATCATATCTATGACATAAAATTTCCAATTTTAGCAGGCAAATTTGCCTGCAATTCCCTACAGATTAAGGGATAATAAAATATTCCGTAACTACATTATAATTATTGATACTTTAATTTCTTTTTCTTAAAAATATTGAAAAATATCTTTTGAAAGGTGGTGACATCTATTTCTTGTTGTTCATGAAAAAATAAATTGTGTTTTGATATATGTACATATCTTATTTATGGATTTAACATTTTACCATTGTCTATATTTTCTAAGTAAATCAAAGTTTAATTATTCTAATCTACTATACATACTGAATTAATAAGACAATGTAAATATATAAAACTTTTTAATCCTGTTGATCTATATTTAAATTAATCATATTAGATTGTGAACTATTCAACTTGTCTTCAATTTTAAAAGAACTATCTTTAAGAAGAATATTTCAATTATTTTTAAAAAGATATGTAATATAATAAAGTTGTTTTTTTGAAAATAATTATCAATTTGTTTTAATTAAACTACAATTTAAAGTTTCAATGTTCAAATTAACATTATTTTTAATAATTATATCTGAAATTATCAACTTAAGATAATTTGAAAAAATGTTAGATAACTCAAAGTAAATAATTTCAGTAAAATTTTTTTAAAACTAAATGGTAGATATTGAATAACTTGATACTTTTTCCTAATAAATTACACTTAACTTGAAATAATCTTAAGTAAATAATTTCATTAAAAATTTTTTAAACTAAATGGTAATTGTTCTTTTTGTGAATGTTGAACAACTTGATACTCTTTACTGAAGCATCTTAAACAAGAATCTTCTACTTTTTTCCAATAAATTATACTTAACTTGAGATAATATGAAGAAATTTTAAATAACTCAAGTAAATAATTTCATTAAAAATTTTTTAAAACTAAATGGGAGTTGTTGATACTTTTTACTAAAACATCTTTTATTTAATTTAGTCAATCAAATCAAGTCACACTTAAATTGATTAAGGTATTTCCTTTCAATGTTAACTTTCAAGTTGTGATTATAATATGTATAGAAAAATTATTTAGCAATCTTGATTGGTCATATATCTTTACTAATGTTGTAAAAAATCTGAACAGAATCTATTCAATAATTCGAAATAAAATTTCTTGGTGGAATGGGAGTAATTGCATCAATAGAAAAGACCCTGTAGCTACATTTCCATAAAAAATAAAAATTTTGAATCAATTACAAATCATGTGATTATATGGTATTCAAAAGCGGAAATGTTAACTTATTCCACTAGGGACTTGGATTTTTACATGTGGAAACCACCTAAAATACGTCACATGAATTAAACACGTGTAATCTTTATGATCACCTGTTAAGTTATGGACTAATCAAATTCGGAGGGACATAGGATAAGAGTCTGTACCCCTATGAACAGGATAAAATTCTATACAGGGGGCATAGGATAAGGGTCCTCATTCAAAAGTGATTTTAAGAGTGATATAAAATTCTATGAATCCCTGTCCCTGAGCTAAAGCACAAAGACTCTCAAAAATTAACTTCTAAGAAATGACTAGTTCAGAACGTAAAATAAATCCTAACGTTTCACTTAAAGCATCAAGTGGGACTATGTATGTCTTTTTAAAAAAAGTGGGAATTGTATTGTGATCATAAAGAGACAAAATTTTATTAATATGTCACCATACTTTTTACATTTTATAGTTTACCCGTGGTTGGGGAACGAAATGTATTAATCACTAGTGCTTTACCTTACGTCAATAATATTCCTCATTTGGGAAATATAATTGGAAGTGTATTAAGTGCTGACGTTTTTGCTAGGTTTTATTTCAATTTCTTTCTCCTGCGGAATTAATTAAATATTGTTTGTTTATTTAACTCTTCTTTTTAACGTTTTTAGATATTCTCGTTCTCGAAACTATAATACACTTTATATTTGTGGTACCGATGAATATGGTACAGCCACAGAAACAAAAGCTTTGGAAGAAGGCATTACATGTCAAGAACTTTGTGATAAGTACAATACTATTCATAAAGAAGTTTACGAATGGTTTGATATAGGATTTGATTACTTTGGTCGAACTACTACTCAACACCAAACTGAGTATGTATATATTTATTATGATTTTAAACTTTCAAACAAAATAAGAAGAAGAAGAAATAATAATTTTTTTCGTTTCCTCCAAATTCGATAATCTTTATAGAATTGCTCAAGAAATTTTTTTGAAATTACATAAAAATGGATATCTCCATGAAGATACCATGGTACAGCTATTTTGTGAAAAGTGCCAACGGTATCTATTTACTTATCTAACTTTAATATATATATCGGTCAAAAAAAAAACCCTTAAAATAATATCTATGCATAACTATGCATAGGTTTCTCGCGGATCGTTACGTCGAAGGTACCTGCCCCAAATGTGGATATGAGGTATGAATGTTTTTTGAATATAATATATATATATATATATATATGAAAACAGAATAAATTTATAATTAATATTTATTTTAATGACCAACAGGATGCTCGAGGAGATCAATGTGATTCATGTGGTCAATTACTTAATGCTATTGAATTAGTAAATCCACGTTGTAAATCGGATAATAATACTCCTATCACAAGAGAATCGAAACATATGTTTTTAGATTTAGCAAGTTTACAAAAAGATGTGGAAGAATGGGTAGAGAAAACTAGTGTGGAAGGGAAATGGTCAAGTAATGGAAAGACCATCACACAAGCTTGGCTCAGGGAAGGATTGAAACCACGTTGTATTACACGCGACCTTAAATGGGGTACACCTGTTCCGCTTGAAGATATGAAGGATAAAGTGTTTTATGTTTGGTTTGATGCTCCTATTGGGTGAATATATTTATTTCTACTGTCATATATATATATATATATTGCATAATTATTTAAATAAAAATATTTTATTATTCTTTTTTTTTTTAAAAAAAAAGATATTTCTCCATTACAGCAAATTATACACACGAATGGGAGAAATGGTGGAAAAATCCGGAACATGTTAAACTTTATCAATTTATGGGAAAAGATAATGTACCTTTTCATACTGTTATATTTCCAAGTTCTTTAATTGGTACAAAAGAAGATTGGACTTTACTTCATCACATAAGTACAACTGGTAATATTATAATTAATTTTATTTATTTAATTTTCGTTTCTTTTTTAATAATAATAATAATAATAATAATAATAATAATATTTTTACTTATATTGTCAAGTATAGAATTTCTTAATTATGAAAACACGAAATTTTCAAAATCTCGAAACATTGGGGTATTTGGTACTGATGCCAAGGATACTGACATACCCGTTTCAGTTTGGCGTTATTACCTCATTTCGAGTCGTCCAGAAACAAATGATTCTATATTCACTTGGAAAGAATTCATTACTAAGAATAACAATGAATTATTAGCAAATCTTGGAAATTTGGTTAATCGAGTTATGAAATTTGTTGCAGCCAAATATAATCGAATCCTTCCTTCCTTTTCAGTAGATCAAGAAGCCGAACAAGATCTTATCAAAAACGTTAATAATTTATTAACTGATTATATTGATGCATTGGAAAATGTAAAATTACGATCTGGACTCGAAATAGCAATGGAAATTTCACGTCAAGGCAATGGTTATCTTCAAGAATCTAAATTAGATAATTCACTTTTTGCTAATAATCCTGAGAAGTGTGCATCAGTAATTGGTATCACGATAAATTTGATTTATCTTATTTCAGCGATATTTGGACCATATATGCCATCAACTGGTGAATCCATAGTTCGTCAATTAAATGCACCATTAAGGAATATACCTGATATGTGGACAATGGATATTGAACCAGGTCATCATTTGGGTAAAGCCGAATATTTATTCACTAAAATTGACATGAAAAAAGAGAACGAATTTCTTGAAAAATATGGTGGAGTAATTAAAAATAAGGAAGCTGAAAAGAAAGTTAATAAAACCAATAAAGCTAACAAAAAGTCAAAAGCCTAAAAGCAGTTACGTCAGTTATACCAAGAAAAAAATTAATGTATATTTTTTTATGTTGATCTTACAAATTAATTTATTTAACTTTATTTTCAATGAAAAAAAAAATTATAACATTTATTCAGAGAATATCATAATATATTCAATAATAACATATATTCATATGTAATTATTAGATTTATCGATTCAGAAAATTTAATAAAAATAAAATTTGTACTTTTTTGTGATCAACAAATTACCACTTGTTACCTCCTTTCTTTTTCTTCTTTTTGTTTTTATCACCGCCACTCTTTGATTTCGGAGGGGTTTGTTTTGGAGGAGTTTGTTGTTGCTGTTGTTCTTGAACTGTTGTCGAAGTAACAATATTCTCAGATGATGTTGAAGAAGAGACATTACTAATGTCCCAAAATATTGTGTAAGGTATTATTAAAAATATTGAAGGATTATTAAAATATTGAAGTAAAATATTGAAATAATGTTAAAAATATTAAAAAACATTGAAGTCGTTCAGAAAATAGAAAATACCTTTTTCCAAAAATATTAGCACTTCCTGTTGTTCCACCTCCACCACCAGAAACCGCAGCACCTTGAGGACCTTTTGATAATTGTTGTTTTCTTTTTCCTTTAGCTTTATAAGTAGATCTCTCATATTTTGGTAACCAACGTTCCGGATCTGGTTTTACATTTTGATCATAATTTTTTGGCAATAAAGGTTTACGCTTTTTCTTTTTCTTATTTTTATTAGAGGTCAATTTAGATGGATCTTCACTGAAAATAAATGAATATAATAAATAAAATATAGAATAATATAATATAATATAATATAATAAAATAAAATAAATATAGAATATATCTGATATTAATAATATTACCTGCTTTTGGTATCAGTTTTTTTTATATAACTTTTCTTTACCCCTGGTACAATTTTTTCCAGGGATTCCACATCAATATTAATATTAATATTATTAATGTCAGGTAAAGAACTTTCATATTTTTCAGCCAGGGAAATATTATAATGGGAATAAGCGATAATGAGACCAGCTAATGCTTGAGAATTTAAAGGATCATTTTTAACAAGTTGTTCATAATCTTTTGCAGCTTCTTGATAACGTCCAGTCTTTAGTTTGAAAGCGGCAGTTTGTTTAAGAATGGAAGTACTTTCATCTGACTAAAAAAAATAAATATAATATCCGAGTTAATATTTAATCATATTATAATAATATATATCATCATAATAAAATATAAATATATACCGTAACTCCACTCTTCCAAAAATTTCCAGCTTTCTCTAAAGTTTGAACAGCTTTTTCAGATTTTCCAACTTGTTCATATAACCAAACCAATAATCCCACATAACCAGGTTTATATTTTTCCGAATCATCTTTAATTAAAAGTAAATAATTTTCTAAAGTTGATAAAGCGGTCATTGGATTAGATTGTAAAATTTGTAATTGAATGAGAGCAAAATTAATATATAAAGAAAATGGATTAGATTTAATAAATTCTTGTAAATCTTGAATGGTTTTGGTAGGTTTCTTTTGATGATAAGATGTTGAAGCTAAAATTAAATAAAGATCATCATTTTCGGGATAAATTTGTAATAATTTGCGTACTGCATCTTGACATGTTGAATACTAAAAAAAAAACAAGAATTTTAATTTTAGAAGATGAGAATTTAAATTAATTTAAAATAATAAATATAAATTTACCAACCTTATGCATATATAACAACAATAATGCTTCATTTGTTGCAATTGTGCGACGTTGAAATTTATATAATTTAGTTTCTAATACATTCGATCTTGCAACTTTGATTTTACGAGCAGAATCGAATAATTCAGTATCTTTATTAGCTGCAACCAAATTATTAGAAGCTATAGCGGATACAGTTATATCAGTACTCCTAAAAGAAAAACATAGAAGATTAAATATTTATTTATTTAAAATATTCAATAGAATATTAAAAATCAATCAAATAAAATATACTTTAATTTGAGTACGGATTGATAAATTTCAATTGCTTCAGAAATTCGACCTTGAAGTTGATAAACGTATGCCAATTGTACATTGATAGTACTTAATTCTTGTTCAACTTCTTGTTCACTATAATCTTCTTCTGTTAAAGATTTTTTACAAATTTCTGAAATAATTATTTAATAATAATAATATTATTATTAATATTATTATTTAATATCATTATTAATATCATCATCATCATTATTATTATTCTTCTTATTATTCTTATTATTATTAAATATCAGTATTAATTATTAATATTATTAATATGTACTTATGGCCGAAAGTAATAATTTTTCTGCTTTGTTCAAATCTTTTTGACCAATAAGTACACAAGCGGCATTATAAACCAATTCATAAGTACTAAGAGAATCCGTTACTTCATACTTAATTAATTAATTAATATTATTATATTAATTAATATTAATAATAATTTATATTATTATATATTTATATAAAAAACATAAAATTAATTTAAAATCTTACATTATTTTTAGCTTACATTTTTCGATATATTAATATTATTCCCAGAAAATAATGCAGCAGCTTTAACAGCATTAAAATTGGTTAAAATGTTGTTATTATCATTATTCTAAATATTTCATAATGAAGAAATTAATGAAATTAAAGATTTGTAAAATATTTGACTGCAGATAAAAAGATAAAAGATAAAAGATAAAGATGAAATTTTAAAATAATTTAAAATAAACCTTATTTGATTCCTGAAGTAAATCGTAATATAATTTAAGTGCATTATCATATTCTTCAAGTTTATATGACTATTTTTATAATGATAAAAAATTAACCATTAGATAATTAAATAATGATAATATTTAATTACATTAGACATTTAGATAATAAGAAATTATATTATTAAAAATATATATATATATATTGAATTAAAATTAAATACATTAAAAATTAATTATTGAAAAAAAAAAAACGAACCACTTGTGCTTCCAAATGTCTCGTTCCGAAATCATTATTTCCTTTAGAATGATATTTACTTAAAAGTTCTATTACATCCGTTAAACGATTTAATCGATAAAGGCAATAGGCCTTTTCAAAAATCAATTGATCATCATTTGAAAACTTTTTATTGATAAGATCTAATGCATTTTGATACTTTTCAAGTCGAATGTATGTGATCACTTTACAATAAAGTGAATCGTTATCCGTGGGATTTAATTGAAGTACTAAAAGAAGTACATATTATTATTATCATTATTATCATTATTATTATTAATATATTATCAATTATTATAATATATAATATTTATATTTTTATTAATTTTTATTTTTTTTTTTATTTTTGATTTTTTTTATTTTTGATAACTTTTTTAACTTTTGATAATCACAAATTACTTTTATCGATGGACCTCAAGGCCTTTGAATATTCTTCTTGATTCACCAATCTTTCGACATCACCAAATAATTGTGTTATGGTAGTCTCGTTATTAGACGATTCTTGTGTTGCCATTTTTTTGTTTCTTTTTTCGCCCAATACCAAAGAAGTATTATCACTCGCCCAGTAATTATAATAATTATAATAAGTTATATAAGTACAAAAAAGTGATTGTATAACAGGTGACAACAGTGACAGTTAACAATAGTTAAATCCACTTTTTTTGTTCCATATTTTAAAAATGGTTGTGACATGTTTGTGACATGTTCATCCTTGTTCATCCAAAAAGTGAACTATAACTGAAATAGAATTTTGCGTGATACTTTTTCGTGAAAATGTTATGAAAAATAATGTATTATGGAATTATTGGGAAATTATTACAATAGATTGTGACACCGACCGTTTGTTTGAATTGTTGTTTGAGTCGTTTTGTTTTTTGTTGAGTGAAATTCTAATCCTCATTTAATTCAATCTATCCCGTTTCAATCTATCCAATCAGATTAGGAAAGATCCAAAAAAAGATTTATGTTATTGATGTTATTTATAATGGTATATATATATATATATAGAATATAATGTTATGAATATTATCAATTATGTTATGCACGTAAACAGGGATCCTATTTTAGTATCTATTTAGTTATACTACTATCAAATTCTCACTATTTATTTTTATTTTTATTACCACTACCGAGTTAAAAAAAAAAAAAAAAAAGCCTTTCCTTTTAATATTTTTTAATATTCTTATACACAACAGGTCCGAATATTTAATTTTTTTTCTAATCTCGACATCTCTTTTTTACACGCGTTATCATGACTACAGTATTATCAGATCGTCAAAGGGAAGAGCTGTAAGTATGTTTAATTAAAAAAGTGTCACATCTCGAAAATATATATATAATATATAATATATGGAATAAGGTTTTTTATATGAATAAAAACCCATTTATCTCGGTTTTAGCAAATTGATAACCAAATCTATTAAAGAATAAAGTCATTATTATTTAGTCTATAGTCAAATCAAGAGTCAATATTAATATTATCGTTAAAATTAATTAATTAATTAAATTTTTAATTAGATAATTAAATAATTTTGAACAAAAAAAAAAATATTTATAATTTTAATTTAATTTAATTTTATTTAGTAACAAGGCTATCCTTGATTATCTTTATTCAAATGGTTTTACGGAATCGTTTAATTCGCTTAAATTGGAAGCGCATAATGATGATTTTAATCCTGATCCAAAACAAAAATATGCTGGATTATTAGAAAAGAAATGGACTTCGGTTATTCGATTGCAAAAAAAGGTATTTGATAAATAAATTTTTGGTTCATTCTTTTATTATTATTATTGGAAAAAGAAAAAGTTTACATAAATATAATCATATAATTATTATATAAATATTATTATATATATATATATATATATTATATAATAAAAATCTTCACATTCAATTCATTAAGTTATTTTGATCATGAAATATGATAAATGTGAATGTATAAATATAAATATAAATATATAAATGAATGAATAAAAATAATAATAATAAAAAATAATAATAATTAGATTATGGACTTGGAAAATAAAATTACTCAAATGCAAGAAGAATTGAACAATGCACCAATTAGAAAGACCAATAATGCAGTCGATTGGGTACCCCGCGCTCCGGAAAAATACTCATTAACGAGTCATAGAAGTCCCGTAACCCGAGTTACATTTCATCCCGTATTCTCGGTATTAGCTTCGGCATCAGAAGATTCCACAATAAAAATTTGGGATTATGAAACTGGTGAATTTGAGAGAACCCTCAAAGGACATACGAAATCTGTTCAAGATATAGCTTTTGATCCTAAAGGAAATTTATTGGGTAATAATAATACTTTTTACTAATTTTAATATTTATATTTAATCTATTCATTTATAAATAACAATATTATTATTATTTAATTTTAATAATATTTTTTTTTTTAGTTTCTTGTTCGGCAGATTTGACAATAAAAGTTTGGGATTTACAAAATGATTATAAATGTATCAAGACTTTGTACGGGCATGATCATAGTGTTTCTTCTGTCGCATTCTTACCATCTGGTGATATTATTATGTCAGCTTCTCGCGACAAAACAATTAAATTTTGGGAAGTGACCTCAGGGTTAGTCATTATTTTTAATATCATATTTTTTTTTATTTAAATATCATATTTTTTTTTTATTTTATTTTAATATCAAATATTTTTAAACAGTTATTGTACAAGAACTTTTGTTGGCCATTTGGAATGGGTACGAATGGTTTCCCCAAGTGAGGATGGCAAATGGATCGTGACTAGTTCTAATGATCAGGTTTGACATTTATCTTTTTTTTTCAAACACAACACAAACAAATCCACTATTATGATTAATATTTTTTTTTTAATATTCAGACTGCACGCCTTTGGGATATTGGTTCTGGAGAATGCAAAATGGAATTTAGAGGTCATGACCATGTGGTGGAATGTGCAATTTTTGCACCTGCCGATGCAATTCCATATATACGAGAGATGATAGGACTTGTTGTTGATGTAAGATTTTTTTTTTTTTAAAAAAAAAAATAAAAAAATTCAATTGGAAATAATGAAAATTAATTAATTTAATTAATTTATTTATTCATTCATTTGATTTATTCATTTTAGCAAAAAGATAAAAAAGATCAAATACTTCCTGGACAGTATATTGTTACAGGATCGAGAGATAAAACTATAAAAATTTGGGATTCTACAGGTCAATGTGTAAAGACATTGGTAAGTTTTCTTATTTATATATTTAGATTTATATTTATTATTATACTTATATTTATATTCTGTTTATTTTACATTTATATTTATATTTCAGGTGAGTCATGACAATTGGGTGAGAGGTTTAGTTTTTCATCCAAGTGGGAAATATCTCTTTAGTGCATCTGATGACAAGACCTTAAAGATATGGGATATGAAAACTGGGCGATGCTCCAAAACTCTAGAAGCACATGCCCATTTCGTGACATGTATTGCATTTAATAAAACTAGTCCCGTGGTAGCTACCGGTTCAGTAGATCAATCGGTAAAAATTTGGGCTCCGTATAGGTGAAAAAACAATAAGTGAAAAATAAGTATAATAAGTGAATAATAATAATAATAATAATAATGATAATGATAATGATAATGAGTTAATAAATAGAAAAAAAAAAAAGAGATAAATTTATATATTATTTGTTATTATTTTGTTACTATTAGTCATTATTGTTATTATTTGTTTTTAAAGGGATATATTACAAAACTTATAATTTTTTATAGAATTTTTTTTATACCATTTAAATGTTTCCATTATTTTACCGGTTCATCCATTGTCAATTATTTGTTAATTGTTATTCCTTTTATATTCTCTTCTTTTTTTTTCCTTCCTTTCTCTCTCTCTCCCTCCTTCCCCTCGTTCTCCTTCTTTTCAATAAATAAATTATATATTTATAATTTATTCGATCCTAAATGTAAAAAAAATTATCATTATATATTATTTAATAAACTTTGTTAATGTTGGGTTGCGCGTACTTTTTACTTATTTATTATTCATTTATTTTGATAAATTAGAATTTGTTTAATTTGTTTTTTTTTTTTTTTGATTTATTATTATTTATTATATTTTATTAAATGTGTGTCTATTAAACAAAAATATATAGACATTTACCATTTTAATTATAACCATTTTTTAATCATCAAAGAAATATATAGAAATTGCACTATGTTTTTATATATATAGGATTTGTCTTTTTTTTTTCTCGTTGCTTACGTAATACACTCGCATAGTAGATCTTGGAAGGGTCTATCGTGCTTACCTAATTGAGACATGTGATTTATCCAACCAATTTAAAAAATTAAGATCAGGTGTAATTCGCCTATATAATTTACTGCTAAGGGTATGGTAAATATGATAATTTTATTTGACATCATATAGGCGCAAATATATACTATCCCAATTTTTAGGGTCAAAAATTTATAGGGAGTCAAATTATTGTGGTTGATCAAAAGACTATTATTTAGTACTATAAAAAAACTCTTTTAAATTCATGCGATGTGACTTGTCCTTTTATTCAATTTTGTACAATGCAGTTTGTTATTTTATTATTTTAGATCATGCCTTTTGAATGAAAAAGTGGATATAAGAGAAAATTTATAGTTTCACAGATTTGGAAGTATTTTATATTTCTTTTTTTCAAGAGATCAATACTCTTGTCCTTGCTTTGCTGTGCTGCACTGTGCCATGCTGTGCTTATGATCCTGATCTACCACTTTATTTTACTTCTCTCTGGCCAAGTATCATATTTATAAAAAATCATTTGTTTGAAAAAATGCAAATGTGTTTTTTTTTTTATATTATATTTTTTTTTTAAATTGATTTTCATTATTATGTAACATTATTTTTCTATTTTTATTTTTTTTTTTTTACAAATTACATATTCAAAAAAATAAATTAAATTACTAAGTATTTTCATTGTGAATAAAATAATAACAATAGTTTGATTGTTAAATAATCGAGTTAACAACATTTTCAATTTACACATTACCAAACAAGAGAACTTGGGACATAATACATGTTATAGTAATTAGTACTTTAAGCCTGTGAGAATTTCAAATCCAGGTTGATTTGGAGTAGACTTGCAAAAAACATTTTACACGTCACTCGAATGACAAATATTTTACTTTTGCCTTGTTATTTTTGATATATTTTGGTTCGATTTATTTTATGTTACTCTGCTTGCTATTAAAAAACAAAGAGAAGTGGTAAAGAGATATGAATGTAATGAATATCTCTGATCCTTTCTCTGACATGCAGCAAGCTAAAATGCATAATATTTTATTAAATCTAATCTTTGATATCATAAGTTTAATCTTATAGAAGTTAGATTTATGTTAAACCGTATGTAATATCAATATATTTTATCTTAATTTTCTTATGCCATATAAGCTTTTTAGGATAGTAAAAAAATAAATCTAACCTCTTGATATCAAAAATTATCCTTGGATTTTAATGCTTTAATTTTTTTAGAAAGCTTTTTAAGATAGCAAAAAATAAATCTAACCTCTTGTTATCGAAAATTGTTCTTGGTTTTTAATACTCTAGATCAAGTTTCTGATATATAAAATAAATTTAACCATAAGTCTAACCTCTTGATATTAAAATTGTCCTAGGTATTTAGTGCTCTAGAATATACTTGCACGCAAAATTATTTTGGGGCCCCGAAATTGCAATTTCAGGGAAAAAAGTCAAAATAGTTTTTCATAGA